CACAATTTTGCCTTCCTGGCATAGCTCACCTGGCTTAGTTGTGCTTCCTTGTCGCTTGTTTCAGAGTCCTTGGAGTCATCCTCTGTGCCCGCATGTAGAACGGCCAGCTATTGGGACAAACCACACATGCAACAGGCACATAAAAGATATATATGCATGCAAACCCCGAGAGCTCCCCACACCCACCCAGTTTTGCATACATAAAACTCAAGCATTGCAGCCACTTCTCAACACGGCAAACTCTGCAAATCCACTGATTGATCCGCCAAAATGCACGTGGCCACCAGCGCAGACTCGCATAATCCAGAACATGCCCATAAATCTTCCCTGTGCACAGCCATGTCCATGCAAAACCAGATGCATTCAGACCACTGAGCAACTTGCAGCCAGCAGCATAGCATTACATCAAGACAAGAAGTACGTTGACATACAAACAAAAAACCACATCAATTAAAGGCAAAACATTTCAAGGCTTCTCTTTCGTTAAATCTGCGACATGATGATGACAAACGAAGATAGAGATCGTACAAGGCTCGAGTCCACAGTTTTTCACACAGCGCTCATCGTTACCGCTTGTGCTGCATTTGATAAGTCGGTTTGTTCAGCCCATGCATTTCCCTCCCCTCACGGCAATGCATGCTGAGTTCAAGACAAGTTGTTTGTATTTTAAGTTTAACAATTTCCTATTTAACAATTCTACGCTAAGACATTGAGACCGTTGGTCGGTCGCATTATCTCATTGGAGTATGGCAAAGTGAAAAGGCATGGGTTCAGAATTCGAATCCTCATACTCTTCCCGCAGATGTAGCTTCCCTTTTTGTATAGATTTCATAAATATACCAGCAACGAAATTCTCTGTAAATGGGTCGAACACGTTGCATCAACCTTCTACTATTAGCCAATTTGATACATCAACAGATGTTTCTGTGTTGATACCCATCTTTCTGATGTTTACTGGCTTTTGTTGTCAACTTCAATGTCTCTTCTGATAAAAACACGACAGTGTATCCTATATTTTTCAGGGCTGGGCCGACGACCGACCGGTTCTGCTGGCCCAGACCTGACCGGGCCAAATAGAGCTTTCTTTTTCCTTTTTTTCTTTGACTGCGGGGAGCTTTCTTTTCCTTTTTTTCTTTGACTGCAGGGTCCGACTGCACTCGTCGAGAGCAGTCAGAATCCAAAAATAAAAACTCCGAATGAACTAACTTTCTTTCCAGGGGGGGTGGGGTCGGGGGGGAAGGGAGGGCCGGGGGGGCAGGGGAGATTAGGGTTTGGTAAGTACCCCTTTGGATGGGGCAGGGCTGTGCCACACTCTGCAGAAATTCAATACAGAGTATTACAGACTCAATTACAGAGTAACTCCGGAGGGGTCGAGAAAACAAGCTTACTTGTCTGACCCCTCCGTGGCCCCAAAATTCTAATTCAGCATCGTGTGATCTGGGGGACCATGGTATCAGATAGAGAAATGATAACCAGCCGAAAGGCCAGATAAGTTTGTTTTCACCTGTGCTTTGCCAAAATTTATTGAAGGGACTAGGTGACCTCTTCAGTGGTGATTCAACTGTATACACACATTCTTCGTGATCCATACCAGAGCATCAACTCTTCACTTACTTCAGTCGCTGCCTCTCCCTACTGCTCTTTGACTTCCCTGCCACTGTCTCAGTGACAATCCCCCCAGCCCCAAATACAAGGGGGGAAGTCATAGCAAAGGGCACGGTAGCCCACTCCTACATGTCCCTCATTCACCTCCCCTTCACACTTCGCCCTCTCGATCATGTGTTTCGTGTTGCGCCCTCATGCTTGTGACTTTGCTCCTACTACAGATTCATAACGGGTACTTGTCTTCCTCCTGTCATGCAGATCCTTTACACTTCCACATTCTATTTGTCAAGGTGAAGCAGGAGAAGGGGAAGCGCCTGTAATACACTACTTCCCACCGCTCTTACTCCTCCCTCCCTTTCTCATTCCCTGCCTTCCCAGCCTCTTGTTCCTGATCTTCAGCCTGCTACATTCTGCCCAACCTGGGGAGAAAGAACTGTAGCCACCGGTACGGACAAGCCGTACACTTCCGCATTCTATTTGTCAAGGGTAAGCAGGAGGAGAAGGGGAGGAAAAGGCTATGTGCCTGTAATACACTACTTCTCCCCACTACTCTTCCTCCTCCCCCCCTTTCTCATTCCCTGCCTTCCCTGCCTTCCCAGCCTTCCCAGCCTCCTGTTCCTGATCTTCAGCCTGCTACATTCCGCCAAACTTGGTGAGAAAGACACCATACCCAGCGGTACGGACAAGCCATTTCTCCTCATCCTCCTTACCTCAACCCCACCACTTCTTCTGCCACCTGATCTTTGTGAGATTTTCCATGGGGGAAGTTACCCCTTCCCCCTACTGCTCTTCTTCCCTCCCTCATTCATCCCCCCCTAATCTTCCATCCTATCATTCATCATCTTCATTCACTTCTTTCACTCTCCCATTCGTGACCTTCTCGCCATGATCAATTTGTAAGGGCACTCATTCACCCTTGGCAAACAGATGATGAAATCCCAAAAAGATCAGAGCAAGAAAAAGCTGTTTCTCCTCAATCGACCCCCTCTTCTTCCGCATGATCGTCGTAAGATTTCATCATCTGTTGCCAACGGTACCCCTTCCCACTGCTGCTGTTCTTCCATCATTCTGCCATTCATCTTCCATCCTCTCATTCATCATCTTGTAACAATCTTGCCATGATCAATTTGTAAGGGCCACTCATTGCCCCTTGGCAAACAGGTGATAAAATCACACGAAGATCAGGGGAAAGAAAAAGCGGTTTCTCCTCATCCTCCCTCCCTCAACCCCACACCCTCTTCTTCTGTGTGATCAGGACTACCTGAGAGGGATGGCCTAAAATGGAGGAGTGTAAATAAAATTGCAGATCACAAAACTGGGGAAGCCAAAATGCCCCATACCGGTCCCTCCCCTCCCCCTCCCTGTCACAGCAAGTCTTAAGACACCGCTCGCTTTTAAGCCCACATCTGAGCCTGTAGATTCAGCGGTGGGGCTAGGGCTACCTGTCTGGAAAGACTCTCAAAGAAAAAGACATGACTGAGTCCGAGGTCAAGGTGCGGTGGCAGGATTTCATGCTGGATGCAGGTCAGAGCAACAAACCCACAATGGCCGTTTCTTGTAACCTTTCAATGAATCTGCTTCATAACCTCCTGGGTACAAAGTAGGTATTTTGGGATTGAGTAGTGTGAGACGTGGCTTGAAGGGTGATGACAACAGATAAGGAAAGAATCCGGTCAGCAAGTGAGTCATCTGTTATCAAATATTAAAGCATAATAAAGGAAGTCGGTCATTCATGCTGAAGAAGTCCAGCCTGGAGACTACGGAGCAAAACACATGCAAGGTCCTTTAAAGGGAAGCAGACACCTCACCTTCTCCTCTGCCTCCTTCAACTCCTGCTGCAGCGCCTCAACACGACTCTGGAAGAAAAGGAGAAAGCAAACCTCAGAAAAACAGTGGAAGATATTCCGAGGAAGCCAAAAAACAATGCCCGATACTAACTTCGAGTTTGACAACGTCACAGCACATTTGAAATCAGGTCGTCCAAAGTCAGGTCGTGCAACACTTCGTGTTGATCAAGCAAATGGAAAGAGAGCCATCCAAGCATCTGGAACAATTAGCATTCGCTTGTCAATCTGGCATGCCCGTTTGGTCACATATATGCCAAAATGACAGCACATCAGCAGGATCACTCCTTCAAGTAGACTTCAGTCCTTTCAACATCCCATCTCAGTTATGAGTCGAAATTCACAACACTCAAGCAGGAATCACTCCAAGTAAACTTCAGTCCTCTTGACCTTACCAACTCATTTATTAGTCGGAACTTTCAACACTCGTCCAAAGACAGCTGCTGCCAAAGAATTGAGAATCATATTCCATTGCTCTACCTACTTCAGCTTGACTCTGTTCCTCCCTCTCTACACCTCTCTGCCTTGAAGAAGGCAAGCACACTAGCAAATGTTATTCCTCTGCAAACTCGAAATTAGACTCTGGCAACCAGCACACACTAGTTCACCATCTGGCTATGCCTTCACAGTACGCAGTTTGTGATGTCATGTATATGTGGTGTTTAAGATGGAAGGGGTTCTCAAAGTAAACGTGTGTACAAACCTCACAACACACACACACACACACACACACACACACACACACACACACACACACACACACACACACA